AAGCTACTTCGACGAACGCGCCATGAGTTCATTAAAGCCATTAAAGATCATTCGCTGAAGGCATTGAAGGCCATACCAGCCGAGGCTTATGACAAGCGTCAAAATTAATCGTTGGCATTCCTGTATTGGCCTGGGAGCCTATTTTGAAGGTGATAATAACAATTTGCAAGAAAATACGTGAAAATGTTGATTTTTCGTTGGTCCGGATCAAATTTAATTGAAAAATATTCGAATGACTTTCAGGCACGCGAGCTATTCCGTTTTTGAGCATGCTAATGAACTATGCTTACGGTGACAGTCCATAGCAGATGGAGGCTAATTTGACATATTCATCGTACAAGACTTATTTGAGACCTATTGCTTAAATATCTATAAGTGGTTAGAGAGGATACTACATTTCCAACTGTAGTATTTTGATTCTCAAATTTGTTAGAGGATGGTTTGTTGATATTTTCTAGGTATAAACAGAGTCTTCACAGGGCTCTTATAGAAGTAAAAGCTGATTTTTAGTCGAAATGAACACATAGTAAAGATCGAAAAAGAGTTGCTTATCAACGAAGAACAGGCAAAAGTCATCGCTCAACCACCCAATTTTTCGGATTTTACTTTCAATTACTTTATTCTTTCCCCAAAACTCCAATAACCACTTTGGGGAACGCTACATGAGCTCACTGGGGATACATAATATTATAGCTCTGTAGGAATTAAATATCATTCGGAGGATAAATTTACCAATCTCATCACATCCCAGAACTCTATCAAAAAAGGACGCTCGCATATGGTCTGTTTACTCAGTGCAAACTCTTTTGAAAATTCGATTCGCTCGCCACAAATTAGTAATAATCACTACGGTGTGCGAGTCAATTTAGCGCGCTCGTTTACTCCAGCGAAGTATTGCCTTAATTAAATTTCCAATTTCCATGAAGAAGCGAAAACCACACATATATGTATGCGTGTGTATGAAAAGCAAACCATAAATGTCGGTATGTAGATGTAAATGCATGAGTATATGTTTACCACAAATAAGCACTTTAATGCCGCACAAAGCCAGGCTACAGCTGTTTGTGAGATAGATATGCGCTCATGAGTGTTTGTGTGTATTTGTATGTATGCGCGCATGTTTGCCGCTGCTTTCACTTACTAAGAGGGACAAACCACTGCATTTACGGCAACATGCTTCTGCATATTTGCAAGCCAAATTCGTTGCAGGTATATTAGTTTGTGCATATAGGCAGGTTGCGGCTGTGTTGTTGTTACAGCAGGTGCCGTTTTACGCGAAATGGTGAGAGACTGCCAGCGTTTAACGTATTAAGCGGGAATATTTAATGCAAAATCAACAAGGCCGCTATGGTGCGGCACACGATGAACATATTGGTGCGCTAAACAACCATACAAACACACACTCACTTACTCATATACATTGCCACACTCATACTACCTCAGTGTATTACATACACTCTGCTAGCACACAGCAACTACAACAAAACTAGAGTACAATCGCATTGCCAGCAGAGGCATTTAGTCCACACTGACCACCAAGACTAATAGTCAACAATGCTGGGGGAGCGACATTGTCGTTAAGCAAAGCAAATGAGTGCCAATAACAACAACAAAAACAACAACACTATGTAAGTATGTATACCTGTGTGTGGTGCGCTATTAGCGAATGTCTGTTTGGGAGTTTTGGGAACAAAAGCATTTGGTCGGCTAAGTCGCCATGCACCGCTAGTTTGCCAGCGCTGTTGGTTGGATGGACAAGTCAACTGAGCTTACATAACTCGTCGGCTATAAGAGTGGGTCATAGTAGTGTGGGTTGTTGCTTTGCTTATACATATACATAACATATATCTGCGCCATTGTTATGCACTCAAAGCGGTCGGTGTATTGTAGCGTTGACCACATGTTTGGCTGCATGCCTTTCGCTTCAGCCTGTTTTTGTACCCGCATTAAGTACACAGTCGGTTGCAATTGACCTTGGAAATGGTCAAAGCAAAATGTGCAGATATACTTTATAATCGTACATTCGTACATTTGAATATAATTTTCATGGCTATATGGATTTTCCTCTTGTGCTTGTTATATATTGTGATGACTATAATCCTCGACTATTAAAAATATTTTCTTCTAATTTATGAAAGCTATCTAGAAATATATATCCTTGATGAATTTTACAAACAAAACTTTTGAAGTTTGCTCTCCATAAGTCATTTAAAGTGTGTTTGGCAGCTGTTTGTTTACAAAGCGAAAGGTTTGTCTGAAAATGTTTACCATGAAAAAGCAATGAGCAAGCAGTTTCTGATGGAATCAGCTGTTGCAGAAGAGTGTTGGATACTTTATCATATACACAAGTTTCTAAATAGCACAAAGTGAAGGTCGTGAAGTCATTGAAAACTTGTCTCATGCGCGGCTTCCATCCACATTTTTGAATGTCGATTTTATCGAAAAAGTTAAAGAAACATAGCTTAAAAATCGTCAAAAGTCATCACGTATTGACTCAATATATTTTGGTTAATATTTTAGGTATAAAGCATGTCAATGCTAGACTCATACCAAATGATCTTAAAAACGACGTCGAGTAGAGGACTAAGAAGTGATGCTTGACAATATATCTGAAAATCCTACACTCATCAAACGCATCATTACTGGTGACGAGATATAGGTTTGTGAATATGATTTCGAAACTGCCGAACAATCTAGCGAATGGCCTTCAAAAATGAGCCGAGACAGAAGAAATCAAATTTCAATTTTCCATCTCAGTCAAGGCTTATAAAAATGTATGGAAAATTGGATTAAGTTAAATTGGCATGCTTGTATTGGCTCAAAAGAAGCCTTTCTTGAAGGAAATAATAAAAAATTTAATTAAAAAACGTGAAATTTTTAGATTTTTTCAGTCAAACGTGCTTCTGGTCGTGGCTGTTAGTGGTGTCCTCAGACGTAATAAAAATGTTCAATTGGAAAATTTTACATAATATATCATTAGGGGGGTATTCTAGTCTGGAAATAAAAATATTTTAACTATTTAAGAATAAGTCTTCAAGTGAATACAGGAGGATTTTTAAAATTCACATTATTTTCGGAGATAAAGGTATTTTGCTGACCCGGCATCCAAACTTTTTCCGCGGGAGCTGAAACTTTAAACACGTTTTTCTCAAAACGATACTCATGATTTCTCAGGTTCTACTTAACCGATTTACCTGGCATTTTTAGAGAGTATTTTTTATAGACTTGTCTATGTCTAAAATTATCCATATACCCGAACTCCCAAATTTTTTTAAAAAGTTGAAAACAGTCAATAAAATTGGGTTTTGTTTCAGGTCAATAAAATTAATTTTTGTTTCAGACAGTCGCCATTTCATGAAATTTTTTTTCCAACTTTTCCGTAGTACCGAACATTGCCTCATTAATTTAAGTCAATAAATTTAAAGATGTAAAAAAAAAAGTGTTGGATATATTGTTACGAAAAATTGTGTGTGCAAAAGCTGTTGGCACAGAAGCCTCTTTGTCCCTAGCTCACATTCGAGACATTGCACAGTACCTCAAAACCAATCACAAGTATGCTAAAATTGCTTCGAATGAAAATCGGCATTCAACATATACTCATGAAATGGAACTCAGCAATTTTATCCTGTTTTTTGAACTCAACTTTTCACTTAATACTCAATATCTCGAAAAAATTGATTTGGTTCAATAACCAGAAATAAAGACTATTTTTCCGGTTAATGTAATGGATATCTTTCATATGAAAGTATCATAACTAGAAAGAAAGTGATTATGAGCTAAGCAAACAGTACTCTTGCCTCTTCAAACTTTGGCCGTTTGGAGTTCAAAAATAATTCCAGAGCTGGTTCTGTGTTTATTGTTCGTTTGCTCAGTAGCGGACAACTTTTTTCCAGCTGATATGAGACTCTATTTTATTAGAATGTACTGTGTTTTGGAAAAGTAACTTTTTTCAATATTATCAGTTTTTTGAAAATTCATCATACAAAATGTTGGGTACCATTGAGTGGGTACCAAGAGTGTCATATCGATTAAGAAGTTTATTGATTTATATTCCCCATATGAAAATAGTTTTTTAATCTACTCAGTCGCTATATTGACTTTTAAACTGATTTAAAAAATGTCAAATTGTTATTATTACATAACACGAAACATGCACTAGTTTGCATGTATGTATTTCAAGCATATTTTAATTTGTGGGCAGAAAATTATTTTACCCAAAAATACCAATATTAAATAATGCGCTTTTTTATTTCCTTACTACTATACTCTACGCTCGGCTAAAACAAAATTTCGTAGCTACCTTTATAGCTGCAATAAATTTACTTAAACCATGCTACAGTATTGTAACCTATACCCTGCTCACTAACTGCATTGCAGGCCTGCCCGCCGAACCACCTGCTCCGCGTATAATTTCCCTCCACAATTTCGGTCCCCACTTTGCAATATAATTCTTTCAACAATCGGTAATTTGTGGTTTTTGCGGTCGCATTTTTAGTTGTTTTCACTTGTTGTTTTATTTATAGCTCCGCTTTAGCGTACACAACTGCCAACACAAATGTGAACACAGCCATTAAATGTTATTGTTGTGTTGGTAGTAAGTTGACCGCTATAGCCTTTTAATTGCATATATTAGGGCTTTTTCGCATGGTTGGCTGCCTACCCGCCTGACTGAGTGGCCACAAGAGCTGCCTGATTTTCTGCATGAAATTGCACCTGGGCAGTTTCTATTATTATTTGCCGTGCTGTGCTTTTCCTACTTTTATTTCGTGATTTCGTTTCGCCGGTGTTTATACCTTTTTCACTTTCCGGTTACTTTTTCCGTCAATAATTGTTGATTGTTTTGTCATTGGCTAGCGACTTGCAAATGAGTTTTTCTTTGTGTAAATATTCACGTTTTATTTGCTTTTCGTGAAAGTGAGCCGTGTAAGTTATTTCGGTGGTAAAATAGTTCATGAAGTTATTTCTTTAATAATATGCCTTATGTAGTGACCAACACTTACCTACCACATCCAGATAGCCCATTTGACTTTTCATTGGATCTGTATTAATTTGACACATATACCAGCCTTTATCGCTCTCTTTGATATCTTTGATTTTCATAGTCCACGTTTTGTGTTCGGAGTTTGTTATGCCGATGCGTTGATTTTTCGTGATCACGTGATTTTGTATGGTTAAAATTGTTTGTGTATCTACGCGTAGCCACGCGACCTGAAAGCAATGAAAGAATTTTTGTTAAAAAGAAAAGCAGAGAGAAATACTACTCTTAGAGGTACATATATAACTTTAATATATAAAATAACTATTTTATGTAAAAAAATATGTTTATGTAGTAAATGTGCCATTGAAAATAAATATATTTTAGTACAAATTTCATACAGTTTGTTATTTTCAAGATGAGTATAACATTAAGAACAACTTGTTAGTTTTATAAACATTATAACCAAAACATTTCATTAATAATCAGTATTTTACTAAATACTAGGGTATATTGAAACAAATTATAAAAGTTATTATTAAGGAAACTGAATTATTCGCAATAAATTTCATATTTTGTGCATAGTTTTATTAAATTTATAAGGCAATGTCTGCTTGCATCGCCTCACGTCAAATACCTTCAGATCGTATTACTCGCCCTTTCCCCTTTTTTTTATCACAATTTATCAGCTCTTCACAATGCAGCTATATTGTATATATATAAATATAGTACATATATATATATAAAGTATATCTATACTGCATGTTTTGCTTTACATCATATCATATATATCATCGCCGCTCATTTCCTAGCTTTATATCTCCTAGGAATCATTTGATTTCATATTATATGACGTATTCATATAATATAACACTAAATAAAGTCACATAATTTATGACGTAATATCACTATGTATCATTCCATAACATTTCACATCGCATACCATTATTATCGCAATATAAATGTCTTATCATGTGTAATCCTATCAACAATCCTTGAGTTTAGACCATATCACACCATGGTATTAAACCAAGTCGCTGAACGTAATATTACTTAAACCACACATATGTACGATATAACTCCATATTTCTCTTAGTCACATATGTATCACAAATCACATCATATGCATAATATCGTATGCTTTCATATAACATCACATAATAACACATCTTAGCACAACATATCACATCGCATCCTGTCATCATCATTCATACGACATCACATAATAGGTATCATGCTATAGAATATAGGTATATATCATATGGCACCATACCGTATCACATCATATCGTAACATACTATAGTATATCATATTGCATTAAATTATATATCACCATACAACATCTATATCATATATCTCCAAACTACTTGTAATCACATATCACAACATAACAAATATCTTATACAAAAAGAAAGAAAGACACCGAAAGAGCAGAATGCCTGCAATATACTATATTTTTCCTAGTATCTATATGGAACATAAGTCATCAGAATACCTGAGCTACGATAAGTTCAAACATCGCAAATTATTTATCGAAGAGTGGCATATTTTTTATTGAAGAACTGTAAATTTCAAAATATATGTTAATCTGCAGAGTGTCTCTAATTAGTCAGATTAATTTACTCCGTTTAGTCTCACTATTGATTCATACGAAGCTTGTCTGCCCTATTACATAAAACAAATTTGCCATATCTTTTTGAACATACGTTCATAAGCAATACCAATTTTTAAGATCAAAGCATACTCGTCTAGACCGAAACTGAAAACAGAGGCGACTTGTTGTCTCATATGCAAATAAGTAAATGAAGTGAAAGGAATCCGAGACAATTGGACAGGTAATGAATAAATTTTAAAAACAAATAAACAAATGGAGAAGCTGAAGTATACACACAAAAACAGGCGGAAATGCAAAGGATGCACTCAATTACTTAAAATAAGAGAAGCGGAGAAGGAAGTTGTTATGATAAACAAAACCAATTCTTGAAATATGGGGAAGTTGGAGTGTTGAAAAGAACAATAATATTAAATGTGATGTGGAATGAGTGTAAGGAAAAGTACATATGAATAGTAGATAGAAGGATAAAAATGAGACTGGCGAGTATAAAATACGAATTATCGCTGGGTGTTGAGAAAAAAATTTAAAACAACAAAAATAATAACCGAAACGATTTACAGTACTTTTAAATTATGGAGCGGTTTTCCTATGGCCCTGGAATACGAACGAAGATTATTTCCCTTAATGCAAAACAATTCAATGCTAGATCTGCTAAGATTTTTTGGTTAGCTTTAGTGAAAAGCGAATGGACAACGTAGATGAGTAATGTTATTCTAAAGTTAAGTGCTTCTTTACAAAAACACACAACAATATGCTCATTTATGTCTTACATAAATATTAACAAGTAAGGAAGGATTAAGCTCGCATGTAACCGAACATTTTATAATCCTTCCTTAGATCTACGATTTCACCTACAGGTGGGCGTTGTAACACCCACTGTATAATTTTGATACTGGCTCCTAGCAAGACCTTTCGTATCATATTAATGTATCTGATGTGTTTATCTATTGAGTTATCGTACTGTTAATGGCTTTGAAAATAACCGGTAGATGGAGAGTGAGCGGTTGGTGGTTTTACCTTTAATAGTTTGAGAGATATGTATATTAAACCAATTAGGGGCGCGCCACGCCTACTTTTTTTAAATTTATAAACCACGGATGTTTTTCACTAATGCGTTTCATTGTAAATAATTATATTTGAATCTTATGGTGGAGCTAAGTTTTGACATGTTATATTATGGGTTTTCGCTTAATGCCATTTTGTGGGCGTGTCAATGGTCCGATTTGGCCTATCTGCAATATTAAACATTTCATGGTGCCAAAAAGTTTTCATTAAGATATAAATATAAATTTTTACTCAAGTTAGCATTTGCACAGACGGACGTACAGACAGTCATCCGGATTTCAGCTCGTCTCGTCATTAGAATCATGATTAGAACTGTATATGACTCTATATCCATATCGATTTAGTTTTAGGTGTTACGCACAACCGTTAGGTGAACAAAACTATTACACTCCCTAGCAATATGTTGCGAAAGTATAAAAATTGCAGTAGAAGAATTCTTTAGCTATTAAAACCACAAAGAGCGAAGATCCACTTCATGTAAGTAGCACGGAGTTGAACTTCACAAAATATCTCGAGTGGAGTTCGCCACAATGAACTAAACAAATGAAGCATATGACTATAATAAGCAACAAAAACGTTGTGTTCTTGTAATGATAAAATAAAACCACACTTCTTCTCACTCAATAAAAGCTAAGAAAAAAGTATAAACGCAATGACAATGCAAAGCGAAAGAAAAACCGCATGACAACAGGAAGTTAGTAATTGTGCAGGTAGGCAAGAAATTAATGAAACAAAAACAACGGCGATAATACAACAAAGCATGTAAGTATGAAGAGCAAGAAAATATTAATAAGCACAATAAATAAATACATGCCGCAATAACAAAAGCAACAAGCAATTATAACAAAACAGGAAGAAGAAAAAGGAAGCAGAAGAAGCAGCAGTAGAGTTGAAGCTTCATTGGTTAGCTCACTAGAAGGGTGGAGCGGCACTTACGCCGTAATGATTATGTAGCATGAATGAAATATGAAAAAGCATCAAATAATAATGACAAACAAAAGCAACAGCTACAATAACAGGAGCAACAAACGCAAGCACCACAAGCATAACAAACTCTTAATAAACAATAAACTTAACACATACACATAAACACTCAAGAAAAATACAAAATATTTTTTCATCAACGGTTATATGAAATACTAACGTTATACACATATACACAGCAGATACAAAACCGTCATTGTTGCGCTGTGGCTGGGAGCCGTCGTTCACTTGTATACCGTTAAGCGCCATAAAATAAGTAATTACACCCATGAGCCTGCTCGATTATCTTTTTAAGGCTTAATTGGAGAAAATCATTTATGAAAACAAAATACCAACAACATATCCACTTGTACGGGGTAGCACTACATAATGTTGTATCTTCAACGTCAAGCTTAACAATTTGTATTTGCACGAGTATAACAGTCAAGTATATTTACTCATTATTACTTATTTAGTTTTGTTGTTGTTGTTGTACAAGCCCCGAAATTAAATGGTTATGTGGGCAAGTTTGGCAGTTGGTAAATTGAATGCGCTATCATTCGGTTAGTGGAGTGGAAGAGTGTGTGGTTATGAATGTACGTGTAATAAAAGAGTATGTCTACACTATATATGTATGTGCGAATATTTATAACTATTTTATTGAAATGTGACCCTGTAGGAATAGTTGATATTATATATTTTATCATTAATATAATTATATATAATAATTTTAGAGTTTCAGAGGAAATAAGGAATATATATTTTTTATGAATATCTTTATCATTTTCAGTGGTCAGTTTGCATGACTGCTATATGCTATAGTTCTCCGATATCGAAACTGCACCCGTCCTTTTCTCACCAAGAAGCTGCTCATTTATCGGAACGGCCAAAATCAGACAACTATATACATTTTTTTGTAATTTTAAATTGTTTTAAATTATATTATTAAATAAAAGAGTTATCGTGCTAAAGCTTAGCAAATAATTATATGCTATAAGCTATCTATACGTAATAGATATTGTTCGAAAAATGGTAAAATATGTCAATAGCTTCCTTGACTCCGTATACAGTTTCAGAGAAAACTAATTAATATCTTAGGCCAGACGCCAAAGAATGAACAATTGAAACATTTCCTGCCTTCTGGTAGACTTTTACCTGTACAAATCCGGTAGTATGAGAGATATTTCAGTAAAAATTGTAAAATTGTTTATCGTATCATGGTATTTATAGTTACATACCAAAAATTAATTGTATCGATCAATAAGTTACTTTAAGTCCATATACCGAATATATAACCATTTCTATGTAAAGCTGTCTTTCTTTTGTATATATCAGCCAAAATTTCGTTATGATCATAAGGTCTTTAATCTTCTCTTAGCCCACATATGATCTTGAGTAAGGTAGCGTGTTGAAACTTCAATAGTATTTACAAGCTTTCTATTATTTTTGAGTGATTACGCCCTATCGGAAAAAAATTGCGTAAACTAAACTGCAAATATACTGCAATGCTAAAAGTAGTCGAACCAAATTTTATTTATGATGCTATGTCTGTTTTTAAATGAAGTCAGCTTAGATAAGGTTAGGATCGTTGAGTGTTCGTCAAAATTTTGATCGCACTTAGATTACTATATATATAGTGCTTTGTGAAACCATACAATAGAACTCCTGTAAGCAGTTCTTATAAGTCGATAAAGTGCATTGAGACCAATGCAAATCTTTTTAGGCGTTTCATTTCTATTCCCATCAGCTCAGCAGGATACCTAGAGCTGTGAAATTTGCGGTGTTTTAGCCATAATAACACAAAGATGAGTGAAAAAGGAATTGTTAAGATGTTTCTACTTCGTTTTCCTCCAAACTGAGGGTCGGTGAGATTCGCAATGTAACCACGAGGGCAGTGATAGGGTACTAAACTTAACAACTAGGGAAAGACTAGCCCTACTGAGGGCGAAGAGCTCGCTGCTTTTTTCTATATTTCTTTCTTTCAAAAAAGTCAGCTTAATAATTGCAAACTCAGTTTTGCAAACATTGCATTAAAAATTGATTGAGTTCATATTTACTTATGCATTTTTTGCTTTTATTTTTTTTTTAATCTAAATTTAACATTATTTGAAAATTTCAGATACCAAAAGCAAGTTAAAAAAAAACAGTTTAATTCCAAGTGTATAATATAAAAATTGAAGAAATGTTATGTCAAGTTTATAATTAAAAATTAATTTTGAACTTAAAACTTTTCGCGCTTGCGTAGTTCGTGTTTTACGATTTTGAAGTAAAGCTCACACAGAACTATCTTATTCAATACTCTACAGCAGTGGTCGTCAAACTTACACATTCAAATGATTTTTATTTTAACAATTTTTAATTCGAATTTTCGGATCAAAAATTGAAATTAAAATTTTCGTGAGATAAAAATTAAAAAGTTAATTTAAAAAATTAATTTATATATATTAAATTTTTAATTAATATTTTGATTAAATTTTTAATGCAAATTTTTTTATTAAAAAAAGCTTTTTTATTAAAAACAGTTGCAGCCCTGTTAAAAATACTTAATTATATGTCTTATAAGTTTTCTTCAGATAAATATGTACAAACTTTGTAAAATTTATCGAAAAAATTCCTACCGGGTCTTTGATTGCCATTCAAATCTGAGTAACATAAGATTCATATCTGTGTATGTGCCTTTTATATATGCCCGCTGAGTGGTTTTGCAAGTTGTTGTATCGCATTTGTTTAACACTAAGTGTTCGCTTATAGCATTTCAGTGCACATTTATGCCCACTTAGGTTATAATATGACACTTACGCACACACGCAGAGTTAAATAAATATATACAGCCATACACAGTGGCGCCCTGGAGCCATTTGTGGCCATAATATATGAATAACAAAATGTTGGCTGTACGCGTCATAAGTAGTTGATTATGGCTAATGTGCTGTTAAAGTGTTACCGTTGTGCTAAAATAGCGATAAATACGACACAGCAACAATGATTGTGTGTAATTGTTAATGAGACAGACAAATTGTTTGATTCCTTCCGACAGACAAGACAGGCTGATAGGTGAGATAAGGTATGAAAGCTTAAGTATCATATAAGCAATTATATATATATTATTAAATGAGATTGAGCCTAATTTTGGGTTAAACGTTTCATCGATAAAACGCTTATGAAATTGCCACATATTTATGGTTTAGTGCGTGTAAATATATTACGATATGCCAGTCTATAAATACCGACAAATAACTAGTTTCATTATAACTAAATGTTATTGCGGCTCTCACATACTAAATCAGTAGCAAACGAGCGTGCTAAAACACCCACCATAATCCGCTATATCAGTGTAACAATCTACGAGACCTCAATTGTGGCTTTCACAGTCTTGATTACTTTCTGGCTCATCTACTTACTGCGTCACATAATTCAATTACTTTTTATGAGCTTTCATTGTTTCATTGTTATTGCTTATTACATATAGCTGTGACTTTTATGTTTATTACTCGCACCTTTATTCCCATATACAAGTAGATATGTGATTTTAAGTTTAGTGCTTTAAATTTCAGTGGGAAGTGGTGATTTGTGATTTGCTGAGCATGTTTTTTTATTGAAGTGGGGTGTTTTGTTGAATATTATTTGCATATTAATATTTTCTTATAGATTTTAAGTTAATCGGCGAGTGAAAGCTCCTTAAAAGTTTCGGCAAACAATCAAAAATTATTTATTCTTTCGAGCTAAACTGAGTATAAGTAGATCACTATATCCCAATACAATATAAATATGAATATATAAACTTGAACACAAAATTTATTTTTTAATGCAATTTTTAATGAAAGATACAGACTTGATCAAGGTTATGACTGTTTCGGAAATTGACGCTTGGTAAATGTTTGTGTTAATAAGCGGAAATTTCGTAGGAAACCATGAAGCACCAAATCATAAAAAAATATGCTTTCAAACATGCATACTCTAGAGGCAAATATTAGAGGAGATATGTACTTGTATTATTAGACTATCTCCGCAATCATTGGCATAATTTATCAGATAATTTTGGAATTTATTGTGAGTAAGAGAGTGAGCGGTTCCAACAGGATCTAAAAATATTGGAAGAAGCGTATCAAGGTTAATGGGATCGTCACATTATGGCAGATTATTGCTGATCCTTAAAGGGGTAGTGGTAGTGAGAATTTTCAAAAAATCATTTTTTTTCGTTAAGTGTAATATCCTAAACATATTCTCTGAAAATTTCAAGTTGATCTGATAATTACTTTTTGAGTTATTCGACAAATAACAAAGGGCGCTCGGGCTCTTCAAAGCGCTCGGGAGCAGGTAGCTAGCGGCAGCTGCAAGAAACTTTAAATTCGTCGTCTGTAACTCGAAAACCGCTTAGTAGATTCTAATGAAATTTATACAGCTTTTAAAATACATAATAACCTCGGGCCTGATCGAAGGACTTTCTTTTTTCAAAAATTTCGATTTTTTCAGACCAATAACTGTTGATTTGTTCCCAAAAATCTAGAAAAACTTTCCGGAGGACGCCATTTTGTTAATTTTTGAAAAGAAAATCTTCGATCAGGCCCAGGATTAACTATTTATAAAACTAATTTTTTCTATCCGATTGATTTTAGATGAATTTCCAAGGACTTATGATTGTCACCGCAAGGACCTTTTTTTTGGAACTGGCTCAACACAGACAGTTAAAGCTTTGGAAATAAATTTTTTTTTTTTGAAATTTTCGTGACTTCAAGTCAAAACATTGTATAATATATACAAGTAGATACATACTACTACTTTTGTAAAAAAAGACATGATTTAAAAAGAGAATGTCAATTGGAAAATTATAAAAGAAATGCTCATAAAGGGAGTTTTATAGGAATTTAACATATGTTTTCAGCATTTGTCTCTCGGTTTACTCTGATGTATCATTATTTTTTAAAACAAACTAAACATTTTAAATACACATGTTACTTTGTTTAATGCTTTCTGCTTTTTGTAACATAAAATTAAAATAAATATTTAAAATTAAACGAGAGCAAATCTTACAAAATCGTTGGTAGTTTCATGAATTGTGAGCAAAAAACTACTGTAGACTAGTGTTATATATTAACTCACCTTAAATGATCCCAAATCCTGTACAACACATGTTAGAAAGGCTTCACGCCCCACAGAGGCTGTCACATTTACAATTGGGAAACTGAATTTAGGATCGGCTGAAAGAATAAGACAGATATTTTGAGAAAAAGTGGAACACATTTTATAATAAACCGGTTTTTCAACAAAATTTAGTATAAAATTTCTATATTGGGGCTATATTCGTTGCGGTTTGCCAAGAGGCGGCGTTAATTAACAATTATTCCATTGTTCCAATATTCCGAACTTGTTCCGGAAACCAGCTGTCCTTGTGCTACTTTTTCAGTATATGTCATTTATCTGAAGCGTAAACAACAATAATTCTTTTCATTGAAATATGTCGTAAATTTTGCCTAAAACAGTATTTTTACAGGGAGTTTTTCCTTATCACTTTAATATGAAGAACCGAAAGTCATCGTATTATGATAAACCTGCACTAGCTAAGAAAACATCACAAAAGTAATTGGCAGGCCTTGAAAATGGTGAGTTCGAAGTTAAGTGTCCTTCGACTTTAAGCAAAGAGACGCTAAGAGACGATTTTGCAAGTCAGAAATGCTGCTTGAACGATGGAAAAGAAGTCGTTTTTGCACCGGGCTGGTTATGAAAAATTGATCCCCTACAGCAACTCTAAATACACAATATCATATGTGAAACATGGCCAATCAGCCAAATCAACTGCAAAGCCGAACCTCTATGAGGCCAAGGCAATGCTATGTACGTGCTTCTAAAATCGTGTTGAATCTTTAATAAAGAAAGCCACCGACAACAACTCATCTAATTGAAGCGCGGTTGCCGAAAAACGGCCGGAATTTGCAACTAGACACTAACTTTCCGTCATGAGAACGCTCAGGCTCATGTTGAAAAATCGGTTAAAAACGATTTGAAGCTGAGAAGGTTTTCCTCACTGGCCTTTCAGTACAGACCGTTCCTCTTCTGACAAGCATCTGTTCGATGCAGAACGCCCTCACAAGAACATAGTATAAGCCGTCACAGATATTTAGGCATGGAGCTAAAAAAAATTATGGAGAAAATGTTACAGCGTTAGATTAACAATACTCTGAATAATACTAAAAGGGGGATGTATTTCGAGGTCCCCTACTTTTTTAAAGAAAGAAAACACAGAAAATTCAAATTTGTTGACAAATGTTTATTATAGTTCGAAAGAACATTCTTTGGCATTTATTTTTAGAAGATTATCTCTTTCAAATGTTGGCCGCGGTTACGTCTCAGGTGGCCCATCCATCAAGTCCAATTTTCGATGACTCGTTCGAGCATTTCAACTGGTAACTGGCGAATGACACTCTTGATGTTTTGCTCCAAGGCCTGAAGCGAAGCGAGATCCCCAAGCCAAAACGTGAAATTACCTGCTAACCGAAGTATTCTCTCAATAAATCCATTGACTGATGGGATGTAACCAATTGTCGCCAAGATCACGCGCTTCAATTTCAGACATCAAACTGTAACGTTCTCACCGGCATCATTTTTGAAGAAATATGGACAGACGATTCTAACAGTCCACAAACCACACCAAACCGTTGTTTTTTCTGGAAGAAATGTCAGCTCTAAAATCTCTTCAGGTTTCTCTTTGTCCCAAATGCAGCAATTTAGCTTGTTTACATATATACAAATTTGGCTCGAAAACGTCGAATCTTCTTGGAACTTTTTAAGATCCCATGGAGCGAAGTTGTATTTTGTACGCTTTTAATTTAAGATCTCGAGAGATGATTTGTAAACGTGATGGCGATACTGAACAAAAATAGCATGACAGCTTGACAAAACTCATAAGTAATCGGTCAAAAAAGGCCATTGAAAAAAGATTACTATCTACTTAGATCATCCGTTATTGTACAAGTTTTTCCAAAATGACCGTCGAGTTTTGAAAAAAACTGAAACGAATATATGGTAGTTATACACCCAATTATTTATATTTTTACATAAAGTGGAACCTCTATTATGGATCTCAAAAACTATGTCACCTAGAAAATAAAATATTCATGCAAAGCAATAAAATAGATAGGGACTTAGTGACAGAAAAAATAGTGAGCTGAACAACACAGGTGTAAAAATTAGTTTGCTAGATTCAGTGACAGCTTCCGGTTTTTAATTTTAAGATTGCCTGTACGTTTCTCATTAAATCCTTAGAATATTACTTTTTCCTTCTAATCTGCAGGTGTTTTATTGATTTCGTTCGAAGTGGCCCCGATATATATTACCCAAAGCCCTCGTCCTCGAGACCGTTGGATTTATGTAAGTGGAACAGGCACTGTTTTTTTGTCCATCGAGGAACTGACATTTTTACGGTTATATGGAACAAACCGTTCTTTTTTATTTGAGCATGTTCTTTGAAAAGGCTAATCTTAAAAAGCGTAATAATTTATCTTCTACTATACGCTACAGATATTTGTTGGTGACCAATTAATACACGATTGTATCCTAAAAATATTCATGGAAGACCTATTCATTTACAATTGTTCGCTGTAGAAAGTTATGCTAGTGTACGCTCTTTCAAGATTCCTCAGACAATTTTTTGCGGCGTACATATAAAAACTATCAATATTTAATTTTACGTTGATAATGAACAAACCTTTAAATTTATATATTATAGCTAGTAATTAAGTATTTCATATACTCTTATGTAAATACATTTTATACATAAGAAAATAAATGTTGCATTACTTACTTATCACATCAGCAGCTGTTTCAATTAAACTGAAATCAGTTTTATGGCACATAAATATCAAGACGAATAATAAGCTGCCTGCTGGCTGCCTGAATAGCTTTGTGAAGCATGTTGCACGTATCGACGTCATGGCATTTATTTGTTCTTATCGCGGATGTTTATTTACAAGCAATCTCATTGAATGCGCTGAGCGAGTAGTATTTATAACAAAGCCTTGCTTTTTTGCTTTTAATGCATATTTATGAAAGTGTTGGTTTATTTATACACTCCACAGGGAATTCATTATTATAAGTAGTTGTAGCTGTAATGAAATGAAGAAAGATAATGAATTATTATTTAAATCTTCTTTACCCACCAAAAAAAATTATGGCTTAAACGGTAGGTATGTTTGGTTGAAAATTGTAATACAAGTATATTATTTTAAATTTATTGTCGTTAGAAAGATAAGATTTCGTACTAAAAAACATCTCAGACATATTTGTGGTCGCTTGACTCAGTATTGCTTGAGGAAGCATTAGAGGAGGAAACAAAAATAAAAAAAAAACAGAGCAAGTAAGGCAGTGCTAAGTTCGGGTGTAACCGAACATTTTATACTCTTTCAACTTGCAAGGATGAAAGCCGGATACTTACTTTCAGGCGTTGGCAAAACTTTATATTAACAATAAGCAGAGCTAGGAGAAGTATTGATCGATTCTACTTGTACTTATATCCAACATATGGTCATAGTATTAGCAGGAAAGGATTTTTTCGGAATTTTGATCTCATAGATTGACCGACATTTTTGATAAAATATTCACTGTACGCACTGAGGTTCACATATTCGATGTCTGTGGGCTTGAGCTTGTAGTGCGGTTTTGACAAGTTTTGTCATAAGGTGGCCTATTATAAGCGCACTATTCGTGTCAAGTTTTATCCCGTTGCATTCATTGGTGCTTAATTTGTATACTGGAAAGTGAAAGAATCAGATGGAATTAAAATTATGTCATATGGGAAGTGGGCGTGGTTGTAGATTTTCGCTGAAAATGTCATTCTTTAAGGTGTTGACACTATGAAAGTCTATCAAGCGCAATTTTGGTTTCGTCAATTCCGCTCAGGTTAAGAACTCTCATGGACCTAATTTGAAACTGCGAATTGCTGCCAAATCTCAGCAAAACCGATGCATTTCGGAAGTGGAGGCGGAAGTGATGATGAAAAGTAGGTCGCTCACAACGTCAAGTAGTCGTGGTTGAGCCGGTGCAAACGGTGGCCTAGACAGTATTAACGATCAGGAAGACTTTGCTAGATGTTTGGTGAAATTAGAAAGAAATCATTTGTTATGGGCTGCACCTCTACGGCCAGGCTTTTAACTCAAAGTTGCACTGTCAACATTTGGACCAGCTTTGATCAATAGGAGAATTATTGTGTTTCATAAGGACAACGCCAGACCACACACATCGATAGTGCTTACCAAAAGCTCTAGGAGTTTGGTTTGGAAGAAGCTTGTGAAAATCTACTGTGCCAATTTTGTGGCAATACAGACGAATGTTTCTATTAGATTGGCGTTATGAAATTACCATCAAATAGAAAAGAGTTATTAAATAAAACGGTGCATATTCTCAATATACAAATAATTCTATCACTTATGCCCAAAATGGTCATCGTACTTATATTGCTATATTCATTCCTTTGTAAAGGCAGAAAAAGAACTAATTTCTTTTGATCTTATGTGTCGCAAACCGCTTTGGAGCCGGCTCTGCATAGCTCACCTGTATAAATAGATCCAGGTGTGAGTTTCGAAGAGTTTTAGCTTTGATCTCGCAAAGGTAGGCAACCTATATAAAGTACTAAGCCTCTGTTACCCAGATCAGAGATCACCCCAGAGAGATCAGCCTTACCAGATAATAGCAATAGTTAAGCGGGATTTTATTAACCAGAAAAGCAAAATCGTGATGACTCCGGCAACGATTCTTGAAGGGAAATCGCATTTTCATAGCACATTTTGCAATTGGTTAAAGCCGATAGCTGTCTATTTCTTTAAGACTGGAACACCGTAAGCCTGAAGGTGAGTTCTGAAGATTCTGAAGCTCAGAGCTGAGTGGTAAGAAAGTGCTAACTACTCAATTTACTTGTTCATAAAAGTAGAAGCATTTTGTCATTTTCATTTGAATTGGTTTTGGTTAGAAAAAGTGACTTAAGAGCTTACAGTTATCCTTAAGCAATAGAATTAGACTTTTCAGTCAATAATACGTTTCTTCCCGGGTAATAATCCATATAACCATGGTCTATTCTCTTCCAACAACGCCTCTCTTGTTGTCTGGGCGTATAATGGGCGAGAAATCGCTCTGAAATTTTATATACGTTACTTCACTCAAAAAAGCTGTTCATTTTTCAAAATCAAGTTAATTTTGAAAATTAAGATAAATCTCTTTACTAGCGATCAATTTATTTATAAAGTAACATTAATGCGACTTGAAGTTTGTTTATATAAAACAACGTGACTAGAACGAATTAGTAAATCGTTTTCAGCATTAGTTCTATACGAGGTGTGTTCAAAGGAAAAGGTGAAGTTTGAATTTATTTGAAAATTACTTATTTATTCATGAATATTTGGTCCTCTTCAAAGTAATCTCCCTCGGATATAATACACTTGTGCCAACGCATTTTTCAATCCTTAAAGCACTTCTAAAATGCGCTTTTCGGTATGACCATCACCTCTTTCTTTGATTCTGACTTGATCACATCAATTGCTGCAAAATGCTTTCCTTTCATTGGTTTTTTCAATTTTGGGAATAGGAAAAAGTCGCAAGGAGTCAAATCTGGTAAATACGAGGCTTGATTACGGTTTTGTTTTTTGCCAAAAAATCACGAATAATCATTGATGTGTGAGCTGGTGCATTATCGTGATACTGAATCCACGATTTGTTTTTCCACAATTCCCAACCTTTCCAGCCATATATGTTCACGCAAACGTTGCATAACTTCCTTGTAGTATTCCTTATTAACTGTACGACTTTTTAACAGGAACTCATGATGCGCCACACCATTGTAATCAAAGAAAACAGTGAGCAAAACTTTCTCATTTGATCGACCTTGGCGTGCCTTTTTCGGTCTTGGCTCATCTGGCAGCTTACATTGGGATGATTGGGTCTTGGTTTCGACGTCATAACCATATACCCAAGTATCGTCACCAGTTATGACCCGTTTGAGCAAACCCGGATCGTTGTTGCGACATTGCTTTTGATCAAAATTTAGCAATTTCGGAACAAATTTCGCTGTCACACGTTTCATGCCCAAACATTCGAGATTCAAGAACAAATAAATTTTTTTCACTGTTTTAATTTTTCTTCGCTTGCTGACGTGGTCGCACCTCCAGGATGCCCATCGTTCATCAACATCTTTTCGACCTTCTGTACGCTTGTACCACTTGTAAGCACTTTTTTGAGACAAAGTGGACTCACCAAATGCCAGAGTCAACAATAAAGTGCCTTGGAGCACTTTAATCAATTTTTAACGCAAATTTTATTACATATTCTTTGATCTATTTCTTTCAAAAGTTAAAAATCGAAGCGCACACAAAAACGCGACTAACCATTATAAGCACATGTATCTGATTATAACAAAAACAAAATATCGATAATCGAATGTATACAGCCCGCGAAAAATCAAAATTCACCTTTACCTTTGACCACACCTCGTATATATTTGCTGTAAGAAATGCACCTGTCGAAGAAATTATGTGTAGTATGGCTTCGGTGCAGCCGTAGTTTACGTTCTTTCTCGTTTTTTAATCTTTTAGTATAATTTCACAAACAAACGCTCTTAATTTTCGCTATAATTGCATGTATTATGCTCAAATTAAGCCATAAGTCCTTTGACCTTCAAAGCTTGATGCAACTTTTGCATAAAAAGAAGTAATACTTTTATATAATTTCTCACAGCTATGTTATACAAGTAAATTTGTTGCTTAAATAATTGTACAGCCACTTGAAATAAAGTTAGCAGACAATTGAGCGCTAATAAGTCGGTAAATAAGAGCAGCGCAGGAATCAACAGCCCGCGAGACAATCATAGACGACTCCACGAAAAGCAAAACAAAAGCGTAAATAGGAAAATAGTAAGGCGTGCCGAATGCCAAGTTAGCAAGGGTGGCGCTGAAATTGAGAAAGTTTCAAGTTTAAAGCGAAGGCTTTGGCGAAATGATATCGGAAAGTTTGGAGAGAGTTGAAAGAATTACAAACAAAAAATAGAGAAAAGCGGGAAATTGTTAAACAGCTGCATGTATGGCAAAGTGAGTTAATGTAATTCATGCTTTTTGTTTGGTAATGCAATGTTGTTGTTGTTGCCCTTTTTTTACTTTATCACAATTTCGCATTATAGAAAAGCGGTATTACTGCACGCTTTTGCTGCCAATTTGCGTGTTTAAGTTGTGTAAATTTTACAATGCTGCAAATGTCTGTATGCATATTTGTATGTTTATTAGGGTGAGCCAAAAGCTAAAAGAATTGTTTATGCTATGAAAACAGAAGAAAACAAATTTGATGAAAACAAAATTAGCTTAACGGAAACAGAACTTAAGGCGATTTATTAAAAAATTATCTGTGATTTATCATATCACTGCACTTTTTCAATATTAAACCAGAACATTGGACTGAAAGTGAAGAACGGATAAATAAGAACTTGCTTTTGAAAAATCTAGGTTTTAAAGAAAATCTTTAACTATATTATTTTATTCTAGATTTCTTTTTTGTGTATATTGATTTTTTCACTTGGCAAAGTTTTTAAATGTACGCCTAGTTTAAAACTTTAAAAAGATCGATGTTTCAATAGGCTATATCTTTAACAATAATATACTAAAATTTTGATTCGATATCTCAAATAGTTTTTGAGTTACAGCTCCCATTAGTTTATCTTATAACGCGTTTTTTTAAAAACTGCATTTTTTTGCTTTAGCGATTACTCGGAAAAAATGGTCCTATTTTCTGCATGTTTTGTTTATACTTAAATTAGCCATAAGCTTTGTTTCAAGTTCAGGCCATTAGTAAAATGAAATTATAGTACGATGAATATATAAAGTGTGCGTTGTAGGTTGTATATAGCTATAGTGGATGTTTGATAACGCACCCATGCCTTTAGGAGGCCCATCACACATCACCGAGACTTAAATCACTTTACTCTATTATATCCTCTCTGAAGTACTCTGTGTTCCTGGTGAAGTTCATCAATACAAAAAGTTTTATTTGTGCAACTTCTAAGACAGAACCAGAAGGCTTTCTATAATTGCTGTGATCTCCGCCTGGAAGACACTGCAGCGATCTGGTAGTG